CCTATCATCTTTTGAATAATTTTAAAAGTTACATTTCAAATTGCATATAACAGGCAGTTAGAATTTTGCTTGAAATTGTGTTGTATCAACTTGGGAAGAACTTATATTTTATGAGATTGAATCATTCATAGGTATTTGGCACTGGACAATAAAGTCTTTTTGAAAAACTAAACACATAGATTTCTGTACAAGGGACTAATTGGAGAAACGTTCCCAGGGGAAACTGTAAAGAAAAAAGGGAAGCCAGTCAGGGACTGGGAAAAATCTAAGCCAGGATGCAGTTGCAAGTAAATTCCACCAGAGGGTCACTTTAGCCTGATTTTTAGGGAACCTATGGTCTGTGAATTATGGCAAGGGTTGTTTTGACTTGAGGCAAGGAAGTGTAGTTTTTCTACTCTCACACTATTTAGACATTAATTAAGGGATCCTCTGGGCCGGGATAGGGGACATAAAGACCCAGGCATTTTTGTTTATTTAATAGAGGGAACATGGACTTCAGAAGCAGGTGCTAGCTGTTGGAAATACAACATATAAAGTCATGAACAAATAAACATAAAAAGCAATAGTAAGGGAGGTGACAGGGATGTGACCAGACCTTTACAATCTGTTCCATGGTTTCCTTTTATTTGACCACTCCTGGACTATGGTTACCTTAAACACTTTTGGGTCTTTTAGGAGACACAGTCACATCTGCGAATTCTGTTGATTTTGCTCCTAAGTCTATCTTCATTTCTTTTTAAAACCTTGGATAGGAATTCTAGCACAATGTCCAAAGCAAGCACTGATAATATAATTCTTTTCCTTTCCTAATTTTAAAAGGAAATTTTCTAAATTTCTCCATTAGGAATGATGTTTAGAGAACGTTTTGGGTAGATATACTTCCTCAGGTTAAGAAATTTCCTTTATTTTTAATGTATAATAGTTCTTATGGAGGTTGAATGCTATTATTATTTCCTGCAGTAAAAAATGCTCAAACCAAGAATTCCAGGTAATTTATAAAGTCATTAGTAATGAAAAGATGAAATATAAAAAGCAATGATATGTTACTTTTCTGGCACACGAGGAAAAATTCCTTTCTGGGGATGTTTAAATCTCTGATTCAATGACTTTAGTAGATACAGGATTATTAGGGCCTTAACTTTTTTTAGAGTCCATTTTGGTAGAAGATTATGCATGCACATATTTAGTCCATTTCATCAATGATTTTGAATTTCTAAAATATACAATGTTCTAATTTAGTGATGGAGTAGGAGACCTTCTCTTATCCTTGAGAGACCTGCGCTATTTCAGTGAGTGTGTTTGTTCCAGGTTCTGCCTGTCCTACATTGAGAAGATCCTTCAGAGAACCTAGTTACCTGTAACACTCCTACAGTGCCTTGTTTCATCTATTGAGGAGACTGGAGATTTCTGTTGATTTGTATGGCAGAATTCCCATATGCCATGTAAGGTATCTGAGATTTGAAAGAAGAGTGGGAGTTCTACACTGCAGAAAAGTTAATAATGACAAACTCATTTATTTGCCAAATTTTATTATATTTTAGTGAATTGAAATGTATATGAATGTCATTTAGTAGACTATATTATTTTATATAAACTAATCATCAGACAATGTCCTTAAAATAGGCCTTAACATATCCTATAAGTAACCACCAGGTTGAAAATTAAACCAATAATGCAAGCATGAATAACTAATATCTGTTATAGATACTGACAAATATTATCCAGAATGTCCATTTTGCCTTACAATATAAAATAGAAAGCCAAAATTAACAACAGGTTAAAGTGAGGGTTTCTGTTCTCTTGGCTGCCAGGGATTTGGGATATGGGATGTGGGACATAGGCTATTTACTTATTTAGTGCTTTATGATGATATGTAATTGTGGGGTTCCTTGTGATATATTCATATGTGCACATAATATAATTTGATAAATTTAACTCCCTCAGTATCACCCATTTTCTTCTTCTCCCTCTCCATGATCCTTTCCTCTACTTTACTGGTATCCTTTGCTTTTTTATGAGGTTACTTTTTAAATGTTTTTCTTTCTAGCTTCCACATATAAAAGAAAACATATAACCCTTGACTTTCTGAGTGTAATTTGTTTCACTCAATATGAAACTACAATTTCAACCATTTTTCTGCAAATAATGTAATTTCATTCTTTATGGCTGAGTAAAACTCCAGTATATGCATACTGGCTTTCTTTCTCAAGAAAGAAATCTTTACCATGTCAGCCTAGGATCTGATTTCCTTAACAAGAATCCTAAAGCACAAGAAGTAAAATCAAGAATAAATAAATGGGATGGATTCAAATTAAAAAGCTTCTTTTCAGCAAAGTGAACAATCAATAACGTGAGGAGAGAGCCTACAGACTGGGAGAAAATCTTTACCATATATACCTCCAATAAAGCATTAATCTCTAGGATATATAAAGAACTAAAAAAAACTTAACACCAAAAAACCCCCACAAATAACCCAATCAATAAATTGGCCAAGGAACTGAACAAACACTTCACAGAAGAAGAAATACAATCGATCAACACATACATTAAAAAGTGTTCAACATCTCTAGCAATTAGAGAAATGCAAATCAAAACTAAGATTTCATCTCACTCCTGTCAGAATGGTAATCATCAAGAATACAGGAAACAATAAATGTTGGCAAGGATGTGAGGGAAAAGGTACACTCACATATTGCTGATAGGACTGCAAATTGGTGCAACCACTATGGAAAACGGTATGGAGATTCCTTGGAAAACTTGGAATGGAACCACCATTTGACCCAGCTATCCCACTCCTTGGCTTATACTCAAAGGACTTAAAATCAGCATATTACAGTAATGCAGCCAGGTCAATGTTTATAGCAGCTCAATTCCCAATAGCTAAACTATGGAACCAACCTAGGTGTCCCTCAATAGATGAATGAATAAATAAAATGTAGTATATAACTCAATGGAATATTAGTCAGCTTTAAAGAAGAGAGACATTATGGCATTTGCCAGTAAATGGATGGAGTTGGAGAATATCATGATAATCAAAGGCTGAATGTTTTCTCTAATATTCGGATGCTAATTCACAATATGGCAGGGGGAAGGGGACACTAGAGAAGGATAGAATTACCTTAGATTAGCAGAGTGAAGTAAAGGTAGGGGAGGGGAGAGGATGTGGGGATAGGAAAGATAGTAGAATGAAACAGACATTATTACTTTATGTATATATGTGACTGCATGACCAATATGATTCTACAACATGAATACTCAGAAAAATGAGAAATCATAACTCATCTATGTATATCAAAGTGCATAAATGCATTCTACTGTCATGCAAAACTAATTAAAACAAATTTAAAAATTAATAAATAATACACACCTAACTATACCTGTACCTACTGATAATAAGGTACAGAACTTTACACCAATAGCCATACATTGTTTTATAACCTGCTTTTTAAAATTCCATATTATATTGCAAACACTTTCTATAACAAATGTCTTTTAAATACAACCATATAATTATTGTACCATGGAACATAAAATTGCAAATAAATGTATAACTGGCATTATATGTGAAACAGTAAAATTGCAAGCTAATGAAATCATGGGAACTATCTAGTGTCACTACACAGAAAATGGTATCGCCCACAATAAAGCTTTTCATTTTATATTATTATACTTGCAAGAAATGAATATTTCACTGTGATATCAACAAATCCAGCCCTCAAGCAGAATAGCTGGGATAGCTAATCAGAGAATTCAAAAGGCCCAAGTTGTAGTGAGACATAAAACAAGACAAACACATCTCAATGGGAGCACAAAATCAGGGAATGGCAGTTTGCCAAGTAGATTGGAGGAATCAATACCTCCTTGATGATGAACTTAATGATAACTCTGGATTCTAAATAAGTCTGGACACAACATAACATAGATTGGCAATAAAGACATTGACAAAAAGCTTACAAGGGGAAATATGAACAAAATAAAGCACACGGGAAGATGAGTAAATCAGGAAGCACTGTGCATTCGACAAATGCAACTTAAAGCAAGAAAGATTCATATATAGATTCCAGCTCAACTTTGGTTAAGTAATCCAACTTCTATGAATAACTTCAATAATGTTTTAATTTTTATTGGTGCATATTAGTTATACAAAATGCTAAGTTTCATTGTGACATAGTCAAACATACATAAAAACATAATTTGATCACTACCCAATATCTCCTTCACCCTCTTTCCTCTCTCTCCCTAATCCCCTTCTTCCACTGTCATGGCCTCCCTTCTACTTTTTTTATATCCCCTTTTCTCCTATTTTTCCTTGTAGCTTCCAACTTTTTTTAAAAAAGTAAAATCATGCCAATTTCTTATGAGAACTCTATGTGACCTTGAACAACACCTAACATTAACTCAATGTTCAATCATTTGTGAGGGAGGATCACCTGACATACCATGTAGAAATTTATTTCTGAATATATATTATAGCTTATTATATATAATCATGCTCACATTAACTTTATCATGAGCCAGTTCTGCATACTTCCATGATTTGCATTCAGTCATTCCTAATTTCATTTGCTGTATTCTCAGTATCCCAAGCTATAGATTCTTCTAATATTATCATAGATATAAAACAGATATAAGTGAACCATCAGTCACTAAAATAATCAGTATTCTGGTGTCCAGAGTTCGATGCCAGGTTGCTAATATTTTAACAAGGGGATTGGGTTCATCCCAATCAGCTCCCTCTTAGGCACAGGTGAGGAAGTGAGAGGTTGCTCTTCCATGCTCTTCAGGTGGTGAAACCATTAAGAAGAAGTTGAACTGTTATATATTTATTTGTCTGGCAATACTTTGGGGCATGGATAGCTTGTGCAGGAATACAAATATTCCAATCAGTTATATTCGGAATTTTTTGTTGATCTCTCCTATCTCATCATGACAATATTTTTTCTGAGAGCGGCTTCTTATTTCTTTTCCCACTGTGCCTTGTGTTGTCCATCCACAATTGCTCATTTCTTCCAGAGATTCTTCACAGCGTTTTTCATCTCTGCATTTCTCAGGGTATAAATCAGGGGATTGAACATGGGTGTCAAAATACAATAAAACACAGCCACTATTTTGTCTATGGACAAAGTGGATGATGGGCGCATGTAAATAAATATACAGGGCGCAAAGAACAAGGCCACAACCGTGAAGTGGGCCCCACAGGTGGAGAGGGCTTTGCGTCTCCCCTCTGTACTGTGGGCCCTCAAGGTGTGCAGGATCACCAAGTAGGAGGCAGCCAGCATGAGGAAGTTCAACAGGCAGATCACACCACTGTTGGCCACCACCAACAGACCAATGACATGTGTGTTGGTGCAGGCGAGCTCCAGCAAAGGGTACAAGTCACACACAAAGTGATTGATCACATTGGGCCCACAGAAGGGCAACCAAAGGACCAGGAGGAGCTGAACTGAGGAATGCAGGAAGCCCCCCAGCCAAGCCACCCCCACCAGCATGGCACAGAGACGCCTGGTCATGATGGTTGTGTAGTGTAGAGGCCTGCAGATGGCCACATAGCGGTCATAGGCCATCACCATGAGCAAAATGATCTCAGTTCCTCCCAATAAATGAGCAACAAAGAACTGAGCCAAGCAGCCCTCAAAAGAGAAGGCCCTCCCTTCATACAAGGAGTCAGCGATGAGTTTGGGGGTCATACATGAGGAATAGCAAGTATCAATAAAGGACAAACATGAAAGGAAAAAGTACATAGGGGAACCCAAGGTGGGGCTGAAGATAATAGTGATCATGATAAGTAGGTTGCCCCCAACAGAGATCAGGTAGACAATCAAAAACAGCACAAATAAAAATCTCTGCACCACAGGATTCTGTGAGAGTCCCAGCATGAAAAACTCTGTGATGTTTCGATGACTATCCATGAACTCTGAGCTGCAATAAGAAATTTATAAAGAAAGTTTTGTTATCTCTCTTTAGAGACATTTCAAAAACTTGAAAAAAAATCAAGATTTGTGAAATATAATTAACCCAAACTGGATCCCCAAAGAAATAATGCCAATCAGGTTCTGCATTTCTCATTAGGGATTTTGATTGAAAACATAATAGACAAAATTAATAACTTTCAAAACATTGCATCTTTTGCTTTTTGACAAATAAAAAGCAATTCTTTTTAAAACTAGCTCTGTTTTTCAGATTAAAAATTTCTTCATGGAGTTTTTGTAATGGTGTTCTGCAGCACAATGCAATAAGTACCATTTATGACAGCCTATTATATATTTGATGAAGATATAAAAGAGAGGAAATTTGAGGCCCTAAGCATAAAGAAATAATGAAGGAAATTCTAATTACCCTGAGTTGATCAGTGCATGCTGTATGCCTGTGTTGAAATATCACACTATAGCTCATTGACATGCAAAATTCTATCACATGTTAATCAAAAGATGCTGAACAATTCATAAATACAGGAAAAGTCATGTTGTATCCCACAAATAAGCATAGTTATTATTTTCAGTTCACATGCCATTTTTAAATTATGTATTTTTCATTAAAAATAACCAATTATAGCAAAATAATTTCCTTAAGTATTTTCTGCAATTTTTTGTCAGCATTAGAGTTAGGTGAAATAGTAAAATAAGGAACAACATCATAGCTGATCTCTTCTACCTTGGATGTCTCAAACAGCTGCTCAATAGTCCACCTGGCAGTCACAATGTTATTTCTAGGAGCTGATCATGCAAATCATTACCCAATTTAAAATCTTCGAAAAGCTCCTCTTTACCTTCTTTAGAGATAAAAATGCAAGAAATTTATTCTCCTTACAAGAAACCTACTGACTCATACACCTTGTCTTTCAGGTCCCCTCTCTGTCCACTGCCGGGTTCTTTAGCCATACTAACTTACTCTAACTCCTTAATCAAGCCAGGCTCACTTTCAATTCCTTGCTTTCCCACAGCCTCTCTTTCTCTGCTGGCCTACTCTTATACATCCTGCAAAAACAGGCTCAAATATCTCTCAACTCCATAAGGAATATCATCTCTTCCCCTACCCAGGGCTATATTATGAGGCTTTCTACTGCACTTTTACAGATTCTACAGATTGCATCTGCATCCTAACTCTTTGTACACTACCTTTTCATGATCTACTTCCACCTACCTTACACTCACAATATCTTGAAAGCAGGAGTTCTGTGTGATTAATATCCATAGTGCCAGAGCCTAGAGCAATGTCCAATGAAATGCACACTGAATTAATTAAAACTAACCCCCCCAAAATAAGAAAATTACAACCACTGGATCTAAGTCAATTTATAGCTTCTTACTAGAATTTTTATTCCATTCTAACAGGGCAGACTGCTAGAACTAACAGGATTCTTCACAGGTCATCTGGTCCTTTCTTCTACATCATCGGGGCTTCCTTTCCCTTCTTGGAATGACCCATATGATAAATGTCTAGACAGTGTTAAAGGATGTTCCTACAGGGAGAAAATATATGCAGTGAGAAACTATAGCTCCATAATCTCTTCTCTGAATTGCACACCTATCAAAATCTAAGTGACCTGGGTTCAAAACACAATAAGGAATCTCATCCACTTATGAGCTACAGAGAACTTCTTGAACCATCTCTCTTGATTTTCTTTTTAAAAAGCCATTAAGGAAAGAGACTTGTATGATAATCTGATACAAACATCTTTGGTTTGAAAATGCTAAAAATTTTAACCTAGAAAGATTAAGTAGCTGGCCCAAGTCAAAGGACACATCCCATGCCTTCTGACTCTCCAGCCTGAACCCACTCCTACACCATGGTATTTCTTCTCAGGACCAAGATTACTCAGCCCATAGACAGCACAAAAAGGAACAGAAGAGAAGGCAAAGTTTCTAGCTTCATACTGTACAAAGGTGTATATCAGCAGAACCTCTCAGGAAAAAAGGGGAAGAGATAATGACAATGAAAACTACCTATGATTATTGGACAGAGTTTAGAAAACATTTAAAAAGAAAACATTTTTTCCTTAGTTCTGCCATCCAAAAAAGAAAGCTACCAGCTTCCTAGTGTGTTTTTCATCCACTCTTTCTTCCACCTATAGATCTCTGTTCATTTCTAATTTATACTTTGTAAATCATACCATATATTTAACACTATCCTGATATTATAAGGTAAACATTTTTTAACCACTACTGATTTTGAACAGCTTCCTATGCTTTTCTATCCTATATAGTATCTCCTTTAGATATTATTAATGCAAAAAGGAGCTTAGTGTATGATTAGTAGTTCCCAACTCAGCCTCTCAGATGCCAACTCTTCAGGTTTCTTGCCAAAGCAGCTGTTGGAACTGGTGGAGAAATTTTATGTCCATGTAACTGTTCAATTTGAATTTGTAACTCAGGACTTTTGTATAAGTCATGTTATTTCATCATTATAATGAGACTGAAAAAAGTAGGTTTATTTTTCGCTTTGTAGATGACAAAATTAACTGTTTTCACCAAAATTAGCCTCTCTACCAAAGTTTATAAGTAGTAAAACAGGACTTGACCTAGAAAGAAAAAAATTGTTCCTCCCCTCATAACACTTCTGAGACCCTGTGTGCAGGCTTTCCATGCTAAGCAATACTCCAGTTTTCTACAGAGGTCAACCAGGTGTCCTGTAGTTTATTTTTATTCTGACACTAACCACTCACAGGTAGTTAGCATAGTACCCACAGGTTAAGGGCTTAGTCCCACAAGACTGCCTTCAGCTCCAGATCCCAAGAACAAGTAGTGGGTTCCCAGGTTACCCTCAATTCTATCTGACTTGGCTACAAATCAGGGGATCCCACAAACCCCTCAGACTGTTAATGGACTTTAGTTGCTCACAGAACTTAGGGAAACAGTTTACTTACAACTGCTGGTTCATCACAATGGATACAAATGAAGAACCAGATACAGAAATACAGGGGGTGAGGCCAGTACTAGCAGATAATGCCTCTTTCCACTGTCATTCCAGTGTGACCTTTCTCTTTCCCAGTTATTCATAACTCTTACCAAATTTTCAGTAACCAACCAGAGTCATATTTAATACTAACTCTTATTTGAACGAGTGAGGATTTGTCAATTAAGAGAAGCTCTCTTGAAACCCTAACCAAAGATGGTTTTCCAGGATTTCAATGTAACTAGGAGACAGCAATCATCTGTTGGAAGCTCTGGATGTATCACATGATCCAGGCTCCTGCAGGGTTGGAGTTGCTGAGAAAATTCAAGGAACAGAGATAAGCTTTTCTTTACAGAGAGAATACAAACGTGTCAATATTTAACACATTTTAGACTTTGTGCTAGGCTTTTTATTTTTTTCCATTTAAAAGTGCTCTATTGATAATAATTCACAGCAATGTTATTTCACAAAGCCACTGTACAAATGAATCACTGTAAGAAAGATTAAAAGAATACTGTTAAATCATGCACAGGTCCACAGCTGTATTGCTTAAAGATTTTATAAGAAATTTTAATCTAGCATGTTTAGTTTTTCCAAGATTAGACACACTATTGAGATTCATAATCAACTGGCTGGAAACTATTCTAGGCAAAGAAACACATTTTTAAAATGCTGTCACAAGAAAATATTTTAAACGACTAAATATACACTTAGATGTGGATGCCTTTGCATAAGAAAATGCAAATGTTCAGAACACCACTATGTAAAAGAAAAGACTTGCAATGTCCTACCAAGCATATCACTGAAGTATTACCCATTAAAAAATAAATGTGTGAGATAAGATTTTGTTGGGTACATTTAATAACAGATGAAACATATCAGTTTTCCACATAATGCTGCATCATCATAATGTATTTTTAAATCATCCATATTTAAGAAAAGTGACTTAGAAAATGTCATCAACATGCAAAACATTTGCCAAATACAAGGTGTACCATCAATCTAATAAAATTTTAAAACACAGAATGCTAACTTAGACATTCCAGAAAACATTTTAAAGTATTTTAAAATATAGCACTGAATTTGAGGCAACTTGATGTGCAAAGCTCTTCAAATGATTATTTCATTCAATTTACACAACAACCTTTAAAAAAATAGATGTCACCTTTACAATGAAGAAACAGGGTCAGAGAAGATAAGTAGCAATTCTCCAACTTACTTTCCATGGTCTGTAAGCAGCTGCATCTGGACTTGAGTTGATGCCATCTGAATATACCTCAGTGATTGAAAAGGAATAACCCAGACACACCAAATTTTCAGTTGTAGTCATCTGAGAATAATAATAATATTCCTTCAAAAGGAGTGGATACTCATTCTGAATAAATAGATTTAGGAACCAGATTATCATTAAATCAGAACATTTATGGCTGGGACCCGGGATTCACAGACTGATCACATGGCTAGTTGAGACCCAGCCAGTCCCAAAGAACATCATGACCTCTTTTAAGAATGCAGATGAAGGCCAGGCATGGTGGCCCATGCCTGTAATCCCAGTGGCTTGGGAGGATGAGGCTGGAAGATTGTGAGTTCAAAGCCAGCTTCAGCAATTTAGTGAGGCCCTTAGCCACTCAGTGTAGACCCTGTCTCTGAATAAAATATAAAAAAAAGGGGGAATGGAAATGCATATTAGTGGTTAAACCCCTCTGAGTTCAATCCCCTGTACAAAAAAAAAAAAAAAAAAAGAATGTAGATGGAGAAGAATGGTGCTCATGCTCAGTTGCCCTTTTCTGTTTTGTTGTGGAAAGAATTTGGGCCTGGGTCAAAAACAAAAATCACTGACATCTTAATCCAAATGATTGGTCCAATGAGTACATTGTGTTCAGTGCTGTGATAGGACTTTGCCCAAGGAGTTGAATGATCATGAAAGAGGAATCCCACCCAACCTGGATGCAAAGAGTAGAAAACCACCCCAAATCGACTTGCAAATGCTAAACTCAGCTCCCTATGCACCCAGTCTCAC